CCCCCCCAACCCAGCGTGACGTCACAGGGTATGGAATACCGGGCTCTGTTTGGCCAGGTGGGGTCAGCCCCCACCCCCGGCTGTGCCCCTTCCTGGAGTCCGGTGAAAATTAACCCTGTCCTGGCCAAACCCAGGACATACCAGTAACCTAGTTTGGTAATACAGTTGGGCTTTATTTATAGAGTATGTTCCCTTTACTAGAGAACTGAAGAGTGTGCTAACTGAAGAGTTTCTGCTAGTAGGGGAAGTAACTAGACATAACTTGTCTCTAATATGGATTATATTCATATGGGAATTTGTATATTGCAGTCTTCCATGTTGTAATACCCACATTTCAGGTGCTTTGTCTACTAATGAAGTTTACAACCCCGAGTTAAGTTCTGTGCATGAGGCAGACTGTTGAGAGGAAGGCCATCTATAGTAATCACCAGGAAATGCCAAGGACATAGATGTGGCTTAAACCTTACACCTCTGGGATATGTAATGCTTATCTTCAGCTAGTCTAGGTTTATAAACACTAACTTTCTCCTGGAGTTTTAAGTCTAACCCCAGTCTTTAAAAAAAGTCCTATCACCTGTGACTTGAGCAGCAAGAATATTTTGGTGCCTATAGGTTTATGCAGGAGTTCTGTGAATTACTGTTGAATTTAAGTACAAGAATTAGGTACTTCAGAGAACATCAAGTAACACAGCCCTTTTGTAAATCTAGGTCTCTGTTTCGTTACTTCTTTCACAAAGATTAATTGTAATGGATCATATACGTCAGCTAACTGTAATCAAAAATATCACAGAATCACAGAATCATAGAATGGTAGGGGCTGGAAGTGACCTCTATGGGTCATCTAGTCCAACCCTCCTGCCGAAGCAGGGTCACCTGGAGCAGGTTACACAGGACCTTGTCCAGGCGGGTCTTGAATACCTCCAGAGAAGGAGACTGGACAACCTCCCTGGGCAGCCTGTTCCAGTGCTCCGTCACCCTCAGAGGGAAGAAGTTCTTCCTCCTGTTCAGCTGGAGCTTCCTCTGCTTCAGTTTGTGCCCGTTGCCCCTTGTGCTGTCGCTGGGCACCACTGAAAATAGTCTGGCCCTGTCCTCCTGACACCCACCCTTAAGATATTTATAGGCATTTATAAGGTCCCCTCTCAGCCTTCTCCAGGCTGAACAAGCCCAGCTCTCTCAGTCTTTCCTCATAGGAGAGATGCTCCAGTCCCCTAAGGGGATGGGGCCAGACTCTTTGCAGTGGTGCCCAGCGACAGGACAAGGGACAAGAGACACAAACTGAAGCAGAGGAAGCTCCAGCTGAACATGAGGAAGAACTTCTTCACTCTGAGGGTGACGGAGCCCTGGAACAGGCTGCCCAGAGAGGTTGTGGAGTCTCCTTCTCTGGAGACATTCAAGACCCTCCTGGACAAGGTCCTGTGCAACCTGTTCTAGGTGACCCTGCTTCGGCAGGGGAGATTGGACTGGGTGATCCACAGGGGTGCCTTCCAACCCCTACCATTCTGTGATTCTTTTTACGGTTGTGATTGATACGAAAATGCCTATGAATAACTGCTAAAAGGAGAGGTGATTGCCAGTAACTTCTAAGTACGTCCACATGCATGCTCACAACCCATCTTTCAGCCCCTCTGCATTGGAATGACATTCAAAATTTTTTGAGAGTGACAGGAACTATTTATTCCACAAGTGTGGAACCATTTATTCCACAATATGAGACTGTGGAGATTGCTGCATGTGCAGATGTACATATGAACAATGCGTTTTGAAGAATCTTTCGGTAATTGTGACCAACGTTCTGTTACTGGAAGAGGATGATAGGGAGAAGGTCACCCTACACATGCCCTGTGCTTTACATTTATTCCCTGAGAGGCTAATACTGACTAGTGTCAGAGACAGGATATTGTGGTAGAAGGTCATCAGCATTGTGGTTGATCTTACATTAAGTGAATGTTGACTTTTCCATTTTTCTTATTCAGCCTCAGCAGGAGCTGAAAAGTTCTGACATTCCAGTTTGCTCAGCATTCAGTCTGCATTCATTTTCAGTATCCTATCAGGCTCATGAAACTCTTCTTCTCAGCCATTTGACCAGGAAAGATCCCTATAATGGCTGGGGTGACAGCACACAGTGCCGCAATACTGAGTGAAAACACTTGCTTTTCAGTTAACTATAGAGGTTCACAAAGCATAAGCTGCAGTGGAACAGCTCTCCTCTTGAACTGCAGATTCAAATGTATTGCAATATATATGTATTGTAATGCGTTAATACAGTATTAGTAACTTTTCCCCACTGGGGCTGATAAACACAGTACCCCTACGTAGCTTTCAACCCAGAAAGTCACCAAGCCATTTGACTGGCAGAAGCCAGGAGGATATACTGGGGAATGATGATGATGATGATCTGTCTTTTGTACACTTATTTAAAGCATTCACTACTGTTAAAAACAAGATACTAGCCAAACAGGCTTTTGGTCTTTTCCTCCAGTGCAGGATTAGTTTGTCGTATCTTGCTCCAGTGCCACTAGCTCATTCTTAATACACCCATTCTTAAGCCCTTCTCCCTCACATCATTCTCACTATCCTATTCTTGATCTTGCAAAACAGTCTGTTTTGTTTATTATTCATACAACATTCATGATCTGTCTTACTCCTCAGCTGAAGCAAAATCCATGTTCCTTGTTTGTATTTTAGAAAGCTGATTACAGGTTACTATCTTGGCTTTTCTTTCTCACACAGAATCCAAGAAATACTCAGTTTCACAGCAAAGATGTTAGTCCCCTTCTGAAGTCCAGTAAAAAGATGTTCCAGATTACTGCAAATATGGGAGCTGCTGGTGATCCAAAAGCATCAATGGGCAGTTACTCTCAGGCCTATGGAACCATATGTAAATCTGCACTGCAGAGTCTTCCAATATCAAAGTCCTCCCAACAACATGAGCAGTGAATATGGAAGTGTTATAACCAGGTGAAGTACAGCTCATCTCATCAGTCCCCTGACTAAGCCAGTAAGAGCAAAATATAACAGCCATTTGACAGTTAACCTCGGCTGGAGGGAAATGTTTCATTCATTGTATGGAACAATGTACTACTTTCCTCTGGACAAACCAACAGAAAAGAGAATCTAATCCCTTTGCCTTCCAGTCTTACCAGCCAAGGACACAGCACTATTTGCTCCCATACCATGTCAACAATGAATGCTGTCAGTTCATGTTCCGTGTCTGAATTATTGCAAAAAACTACACAAAGCTGCAATATTCTGATACATGAATGTATTTAGACATATTCAGACTATTCAGGGCCTTTAGACATATTCAGACATATTCAGGGCCCATCTGAATGTTGTGAAGTTCAACAAGGCTGAGTGTAAGGTCCTGGTCCTGGGCAATCCCCATTATCAGTACAGTCTGGGGGAGGAAGGTACTGAGAGCAGCCGTGCCGAGGACTTGGGGGTACTGGTGGATGAAAAGCTAGACACGAGCCACCAATGTGCACTCACAGCCCAGAAGGCCAACTGTTTTCTGGGCTGCACTGAGAGAAGCATGGCCAGCAGGGTGAGGGAGGTGATTCTGCCCCTCTGCTCCGCTCTCGTAAGACCCCACCTGCAGCCCTGTATCCAGCTCTGGAGCCCTCAGCACAGGAAAGACATGGACCAGTTAGGGCAGGTCCAGAGGAGGGCCAAGAAAATGGTCTGAGAGCTGGGACGTGTCTGTTACGAATAAAGGCTCAGCGAGTTGGGGCTGTTCAGCCTGGAGAAGAGAAGGCTCCAGGGAGACATTAGTGTGACCTTTCAATGCTTAAAGGGGGCCTATAAGAAAGATGGAGAGAGACATTTTGCCAAGGCCTGTAGTGACAGAACCAGGGGTAATGGTTTTAAACTGAAAGAGGGTAGGTTTAGATTGGACATAAGGAAAATTTTTTTTACGATGAGGGTGGTGATGCACTAGACCAGGTTGCCCAGAGAAGTTATGGATGCCCCATCATTGGAGGTGTTCAAGGTCAAGCTGGATGGAGCTTTGAGCAACCTGATCTAGTGAAAGATGTCCCTGCCCTAGGCAGGGGGTTTGGCCTAGATGATCTTTGAAGTTGCCTTCCAACCCATTCTATGATTCTGATTCTCTATCAGTTTCAGGTGCACTGCCTAAGTATTGGTGGGTTCTGCTACAATACTTTATATTTTACCTACCATGTAATATTGTAATATTGTAATAATAAATACTTTATATTGCACTACAGAAAATGTTTGTCTTTTAATGAATGTTTGCTGTGTGTGAAAGGGGGAAGAATACAGGGATATCTTGTTCAATGAACAATACGGTAATTTTTTTTTTTCCTTTCAGAAAGCAATGTTCCAAGAGATATTATGGCTGAAACGTCATGAAGTTGTTATCAGGCAACAGTAAGACTATAGTAAATTTTAAAATGATAAAACTATATTCCTGTTTTAATGCTGATTTTGGATACATCTCCTCATTAACTTCAATTTCTTACAAGAAATCTCCGTCCCTGAAATTTTACTTCACCTATGATAAATGATTGTTATTCCAGAACTTTGGGGCTACAGTTACAGAGTGGATTCAGGCAGTAAATTCCAACATGTGAGTACCACTGCCATTGATAGAATATCCATTTTATCTTTTATTAACAAAATACCAAAGGCTAGTTAAGTAAAAAAATAATGCATTCACATGTGGTCACTTAAGTCTGGTAATACCAGTGTGCTCGGAACGCAGCTCACAGGGAAGTCATGGTTTATTCTGGTATATTCATAAAATAGGCATCTCCTGTCTATCTCAGGTACAGGCAGAATCATAGAATCGTAGGTTGGACAAGACCTCTAAGATCATCAGGTCCAACCATCCACCCAACACCACCATGCCTACTAAACCATATCCCAAAGTGCCATATCTACACATTTTTTAAACACCTCCAGGGATGGTGACGCAACCGCCTCCCTGGGCAGCCTACTCTAATGTTTGACCACTCTTTCAGTAAAGAAATTTTTCCTAATATCTAATCATGGATGAACATCATGTGTAGGTAGTGCTCTGTGCAGCGTACTGACTCTTGTGAGTCTAAGTTGCCAGTTCTCATGCATGGAAAAGGGAGCCTACTGCTTAATTCAGGGTTATGACTTCCACTGAAAGCCTAGCACCTAGCAATTTGACACTACAACGCAACATCTAAGATCCTCTGTGAACTTAGTCTCAGACTGAGAAGTGATGGGCTGTAATACTAACTTTTTATTCTTAAAATGGCTTTTGTTATTACCAAGTGAATTAGTTATTCTGCAATATTTGTATACACCTACAACACCTGGTAATCAACATATCCCTAAAAGAGATGAGTTATTCTAGTTCTGATCAGGAACATACTTTTACACTGAATGCACCATGCTGAGCAAGATAAAATTCTAAAAATCTAAACAAATATAGTAAAATTCTAAAATGTTAATGTAATCTGTGACTATAGAAATAATTACATTTCTAACTTGCCTGTTACAGAACAATGCTGGAGCATGGAGGTTTGGGAAAGACTGGGGAGGTATGGAATGATGTGAGTAAGAATTACACGAAATAGGGCTAGCATATATATATAAAATAGGATATATCTCTAGATAGCCTATCTTCCTCTCTAGAGTAAAATAATTGCTATATGTATTATCTGGCAGAGAACAAGTATTGGTCATTACAGTTTGTTTTGTGACACACCAATAACTGGATCTGAGTCATTACTAAGAGGAGACAAAATAAGTATACATATAGCATTCATTATAAATTTGTACGTATGTAACATTACGGGTTGAATCTGAAATGATTTACATTTCTACAATATGGAATAAATGTAAGAAATCTGTTTCAGCTTTTTTTCCCATTTTGGCCACTTCTTCCCTCCTTTTTTTTTTTCTTATTTTCCTTCTCTTAACTTTATTTCTAGGTTTACCTTCTCATGTTAAAAGGATGGTTCCTCTTGACTCTTGCAGATTTTTACCACCATCTGTATCAATATGGAAATCAGCTTAATTTTTTTTTTCAAATAGCCAGTCTAGCCGCACATTCATTTCCCAGGGTTTTCAGCAAACAGTAAAATAATCATGAATTGTTACAGACACGTAAATTATATAAAGCCTGCTAAATTATATGAAGCCTGCTACCATGGGAGCTGGCATCAAAAAAACAAAAAAAAATGAAGTTTTAAAGATCTTACTAAAGTTATCTTCAGGAACCAACGCAGCCTCTAGCCTCCATCTGTCAGCCACGTACCTGAACTGGTTTAGTGAGCTTGCAGCTAATGCCACGAGTGGGTAATCATGAAATCCAAGCTAATGGGAATGGGAAATTCAGAAGCCTAGTTCCATGTAAGAGCATTCTACCTTTCCATCTCTTTAGACTACAGCACAAAGACCAGGAATAAAAAAACCCAGTTTGGCAATCCTGCTGGATGCCAAGCACAGACAGTACAAACTGTGGGGAAAAAACAAGTAACTAAACATTATGTACAGCATTTTGTTGATAGCTTCTGCCTCTACCTCCTGTCCTGCCAGACACAACAGCATGAATTTACAGGCTAATCTGGACTGTTTTAAAGCTGTGTGGTTAAACATGGTATCAAACTACTACAAGAAAGTTACATAAGATAAAACACTTCTGAGCTTGAAAATTCCAGCAGCCTTATTCCTTCCATTATTCTGCATCCCTTCTTGCCTTGTCTTCACATGCAAAGATGTGCTAACAAATGAATGTCCTCGCCTCCCCACAATCACTTAATGGAATTACATTGTCAAGGAAGTTCTTACTTGGCCAAGACAGCATTTTAGATGCTTAATTACTCCCAACTCAGTTGAAAAGGAGTCCTAAAAGAGGTCCTTCTCTATTAACAGCATGTCAGTTTCCTTTTTTATGGCATTTCAGCTGCATCTTTCAGCTCACCCACTAAAGCACTACTTCTATTATACCTAAGGAAACAAACCAATAACAAACCAGAACCAACAGGCTTAGAAAACGGTAAATGTGAAAGCTGAGCATGTACTGCTAGCCAAAACCATAACCACAGATAAGGGCAAAAAGTTTACAGTATTTTTTTCTCCTGTAAACCTTCAAAAAGGTGCCTCCCATATTAGATTCATTATTAGACACAAAGAAAAGATACCTGTACCTGAGAAACAATTGGGGTTTAAACATTTGTTTCCAGTTAATGCATGTGTGTGTCTGCATATATTCTTCTTTCCTGGACTGAAATTTTATCATTTTTTATTCTTTCCTTCTGAAAGTGGAATTGTTTTGGCTGCTGAAAATGTTCCCTGAGCATAACATAAAGAGACTCTTACTTTATTTCTTTGTTTTAAGCATTTTGGCAATTTAATAATTTTATTTGAAACATACTGTGATAAGGTTGCCTGATTCACATGACTATTGGGCAAATTGTGCCATAGGTGTCTAATGCTGAGCACATTTCCACTCACTAACCTCGAAGAGTATTGCCTATGGTGCTTACAGCCATCATAAACAAGTTACTTCCTCATTCCCCTTTGACAGTCAGTGATTATATGCAATTAAATAGTATTTCTATGATCATTTTTTGGTCTTGAAGGTCCCCAGGATTTTGGGCATAAATTTTCCCATCTTCTTATCTTTGGCATCTGTGTCATATTCCTCTTCACTTTGACTTGTATGTTCATCCTTTTTGCAGAAGACCTCAAACCGACTGTAGACTCGTTTCTCCTTACGCATATTCTCCATTTTTTTCAGAAGAGTATCTCTATCCTCTGATGGTTGCCGCTGAAGATTTCGTTTCTGGCTCCCAAAACTCTCTGACCTGTGGATGTTACAGCTTTTCTCCTTCTCACCTTTCCTTTCCAAGCTTGTAGCTGATTTAGAAAGATCAGGATTACTAGTGGATGGTAGCTGCTTGGCCAGTTCAGCTCTGTTCTTCTGGCTGTTTGCAGAG